TCAAGGTCCCTTCAACTCTTGATGTCTGTGAAGTGTGCGCTCTCACAAAGATGACTAACAGAATCCCAAGTCAACTAAGTGCACGAAAATCCAAAAGGCTAGAATTGATCCATTTCGATGTTGCTGGCCCTTTCCCAAGGACCATTCGAGGGCACAGATACTTTCTCCTTATTATCGATAGCGCCACAAGGGTAAATTGGGTCATCCTATTGAAACAGAAGAGCGATGCAATACCCTTACTGAAAGCCTGGAAGCAAGAAATTGAACTTGCTACAGGAGTAGCTGTAATTGCTGCCAGAACCGACAATGCACCAGAGCTTCTTCAAGCCGTCCGGGAATGGAAGACTGGTGTGCGATCAGAGGTTACAGTGGTTGTATCGTCTCACCAAAATGGTCCAGCTGAACGCAATATACGCACCGCAGAAACCGACATGAGAGCAATGTTGAAAGAAGCTCATTTACCATTAGAATTTTGGGACGAAGCTGTCGAGCACGACGTATACATTCGAAACCGCACTAGTATTGGCCCAGATGCAAATGGAATCGATCGAAGCCCACTCGAAGCATTTACAGGCACATTACCAGATATCGATACATGCAAGGTCTGGGGGAGTCGATGTTACGCCTATATCAACCCCAAAACCATCCCAAAAGGACAAAGGCATGATAAACTTCGCGACACAGCAAGGGTTGGGATATTCCTGGGATACTCAAAAGACACCACCAAGCATATAAAGGTTTATTCACCAGAGCTAGGTTATACTTACCGCTCTTATCGTGTTACAATCGACGAAAGCTACAAAGGAGGGGATCTGGATCTCAAACTCAGAAACTGTGTAGCTGGATCACAAGGTACCAAGAATATAGAACCTGATCGCAGGCCTCGCGGCAGACCTAAGAATGTCCCTGAATCATCGTCTATTCCAGTCGATCCACCAATATCACCAAATGAAATAATCACAGACTCGATAGAGGTGCGCTTGCCAATACCAAAACGAACAAAGACTGAAATACCACGCTTTGATGAAGATGAATATGGAAATATCCGACAAGTGGCTGATGATTTAACAAGACCGGCAGGGGAAAACAACAAAGAAAGTGATGTTACTTTACCTGATATAACTTCACCACCTGATCATACACCACCGAAGTCAAGGGCACCTGAGGATATAACTTTACCACTTGATCATACACCATCGAATTCGAGTACATTACCTGAGAGTGTATTACCTGATATTGCACTACCTAATGAAACTTTACCACCTACTGCATCTACATCTGCATCTACTTCCACACCACCTTTGAGATACAATCTTAGGAAGAGAAAGAGAAGCGATGACGACGATATAGAAGAACAGAGAGACTCCAAAATCATTCGGGCCTTACTTGCTTCCTTAAATAAGCCAGGATCAGAATCAATTGAGCACGCCATGATTGCCATTCCAAATATTCATCAATTCGAACAGGAGACGAATAATGAAATTGCTTCGAAGATCTTGACTATTTTAGCAGATGCACCAGCAGAAGCTGAGACCGCTCTACCAGCAACGGAAATACTCGGGATCAAGATACCGAATACATATAAAGAAGCAATGGCAGACAAAAAGCACGCGAAAGACTGGCAAGCTGCAATTCAAGAAGAAGTAGACTCATTGGTCAAGAATGGCACTTGGGAAGAGTTCATTTTACCACAAGGGAGCAATCTAGTTTCAACGAAATGGGTATTTGTTGTTAAGACGAAGGATAATAAGGTAGAGCGATTCAAGGCCAGATTAGTGGCTAGAGGGTTCAGCCAAGTTTTAGGTAAAGATTACAACGAAACCTTCGCCCCCACTGTTCGACTCGATACTCTTCGCCTTTTCCTTGCAATTGTTGCAAGAGAGGACCTCGAGTGTTCCCATTTCGATATCAAAAATGCGTTCACCGAATCACACTTGAAAGAAGAAATCTATTTAGCACCCCCTCAAGGTGTTCATGTTCGTCGCGGCCGCGTTCTACATGCACTTCGGAGTCTTTATGGGCTAAAGCAAGCTGGTAGAGATTGGAGCCTTCTTCTGAAAGGAGAGTTAACCAAGATGGGTTTCGTACAAAGCCTTGCGGATCCGTGTTTATACACCAATCACCCGCGCCAGCTAATTCTCCTAGTGTATGTAGATGATATTGTTACTGCTGCTGCACAAAAACGAGATATTCAATGGTTTTATCACAACCTTTCTGCTCAATTCAACACCAAAGACCTGGGGGAGATTAGTAAGATCTTAGGAGTGCGCATCATTCGTAACAGATCAGAGAGAGTGTTAACTATGGATCAAGAAGAGTATCTGGATGCAATGCTTACCCGATTCGGGATCTCCCATGGTCAACACACTCCAAGGAAGATACCAATCTCGGATTACAACCAACTACGACCAACGCTCCCAGACGACGAGCTCACTGATGTAAACGAATACCAGCAAGCAATCGGCAGTACGATCCACCCTATGGTTTACACTAGACCGGACATCGCATTCGGTCTCGGGAGATTAGCACAAGCTATGTCTAACCCTGCCAAACATCACAGCGTTGCACTCAAAAACCTTATGAGATATTTGAGGTCAACTATTAAACAGAAACTACGTTTTGGGCCTGGGGGAGTTCAATCAGATATTTGCAAAGAATATGACCTCCTACAACGCACCATCAAAGTATACACCGACGCAGACTGGGCAAGCGATAGAACCGATCGAAAAAGCATCTCTGGTGGGGTAGTAATGTTCTATGGTGGACCAATCTCATGGGCAAGCAAGAAGCAGACATCTGTAGCTACATCTAGTACAGAAGCTGAGTACATTTCCATGGCGATGTTCACCAAACAAGGGCAATGGGTAGCCCAACTCTTGAGGGACTTAGAGCGACCACAGTATATCGGGAGCAACAGCGGAGTTCAAATGCTCGGAGACAACCAAGGAGCGCTAGCGTTAACCAAGAACCCACATCTACACGAGCGATCAAAGCATATTGACATATGTCACCACTTCATTCGAGATCTCACAGAAAAACATCTAGTCAATACCAGCTATGTCAATACAAGTGATATGGCTGCAGATGGATTAACAAAACCATGCGCAAGGGTGATATTTGAGAGATTCAAGAACATGCTGGGGTTTCAAAGAGAGTAAGCTCTTTGGGAGAGTATTGGAAGTTGTGGTATGTGCTCCAAAATCGACTAAATCGACCAAATTGACCAAATCGACCAAAATCACTGAATCCACCCATTTCACCTATTTCATCAGATTCATTGGATTCATCTTACGTCGAATTTATCAAAAAAAAAAAAAAAAAAAAAAAAAAAAAAAAAAATTAATGATTTCAAGAAAATCACGTGGAATAACAGATAAGCTTAAGGTCTGTTCGCATACGATCGGATTTTGATGGTCTACCATATTAAAACAGTAACCCTACGATCAAGGAATAACGAATTTCGAAGCAATCAGTTATTGGGCGTATAAAAGGAATTTTAAAGAAACTAACTACTGAAGCTGAGAGAGTAAGCTCTCTGGGGGAGTGTTGGAAGTTGTGGCACGTGCTCTAAGCTACTGTGCATATATCACTTCCACTTCGTAGTTAGATTTTACCTTAGTACAATTAATCTACATAGTCAATAATACATGCATTCCACTGGCCTGCTCCTTTATTGTGAACATAAATGAATAAATGAATAAATGAATAAATGAATAAATGAATAAAAGAATAAAAGAATAAATATATATATAAAGAAATAAATAGAGAGGAATTATTATATTATCTATCTGTTCATTTATTATCGTTACTACTTAATAGATATATATCTACTCGATAAAATAACTAAAGATATATAGTATAAGCTAAAATTGAATATAACTTCTATAAATTTCATTTTAATTTAATAAAATTCTATACAGTAATATATATATTTTCTATATAGGAAAAAAGTTTATAGAACTTGAATAAAAAATAAAAGAGAAATAGTATATTAAAATTAATAAGTTAATAAAAATAAGTATGACTTTATAATATAATCTCAATTCTATTTATTTTTATTATTTTTAAATCTTTTATATTTATATTTTAAAATCTAATTTAAAATTAGGTAATATCTCATTAGAAAAAGAGTTTTCTTTTAATTTCTTAGAATAAAAAAGGTATTAAAGATTGAAGTTAAATAAGTAAATTAAAAAATTTAGTTTTTATATTTGATATTCTTAAAAATAAGAGAATTTACTTCTTTAAAAATAATAATTTCAATCTTTTTTCTTTTTCAAATATAAATAACTCTTTTAATTATAAATGAATTCTTATAAAAATGTATATATTGAAAAGTAAAGTTTTTATTTAATAATATATTCAAATTTCAATATTAAAAGTATCAAATCAATCGAATTATTAAAAATCAAAAAATCATTTAAAAATAAGTATTTTTTAAATTAATTTAATAGATTTAATTGCTTTTATCTCAATTATTTTTATTTTTATTTCTTAAAAACTTTTTAATAATATAATTATTATGTTAATCAATTATATGTATTAATTATAGCCTATTTTATTTAAAAACATTAAAGTTATAAATGTTTTTAGTTTATACTATATATCTTTAATTATTTCGCTGAGCAAAGTCTTAAGCGATTCATTTACTAAGGGAAGAGTAGAAGGAAGAAGAAGAAAAAAAGGAGAAAGAAAAGAGCTGACGTGGAATTCATATACTCATTTGTATACCTGGTCAATTGGTATCATGGAGTAGATGAAATCTTCTAGAAGAGCTTCCAATTAGAGAGTAGAAGCTGCGGAATCTATCAATTTGATCATTTGTTACTTGGTATTGTAATCTTACTCGTATTCGAGTGAGTGTACTGACATTTATGATGATTAGCCTCGAGCCCCTGACCCGACAACTTTAAAATTTTGATGTAGTAGATCTGTTAAGCTAGCCTGATCTGTTCTTCTCCCTAGTAATTAGTACGAAGTAGTAGGTAGGTAACTAGCTACCCAACTTTTTGGCTTGTGAAGATCTGGTTTGATTTGATGTTAAATTTGTTTCTGGAAGTTTTCTACTTCTTTTAGTTTTCTTGGTTCATCCCTCTTTATTTTAGGGTTGATTTCGGATTCGTTTTCACATCGGCGGAGAACCTACTTCACTCGAGACATCCATCATTCATACAACAAACGAGAGGATATCGATGTTGAGCAATTAACAACCGATTGACGACTCACCTTTCATCACACAATACACAATACACAATACACAATACACTGCACATTACACCATTCACGCATAGCATCGGCCTCCTCCGCAGCTCACTGATTCAGCCTGATATCCTATCCCCATCTCATCACATCACATCTCATCTCGTCTCATCTCACTCTACCCGCTCGAAAATCCACATCCATAAATACTCAACCTCACCCCAAGGTCGCAAGGGTCGGAAGCGCATTCCACCCACCTCGATTGAAAATTCGTGAAAAGATCGATAACTTGCTGGCGGTGAACACGGCGTCGGCGATTGGTTATCGAGACGAAGACGGGGAATTGCCTTTGCCGGTTACGACGCCTAAGACGCCCAAGGAGAGGGGAATGGGGCTGGGTATGGCGCCGAATAAGAGTGAGTGGTTTTTTCTTCTTCTTTTGATATGTGTTTTCTGTTGGATTGGGGTTGGAGTTGTGGGGTATGAGAATGAGGGGAGCTCAGAGACGAGCAGGTTACAGTGAAGCATGGCATGGCATTGAATGGGATTTCCCCGCAGATTCAACTCCCACTTCCACTTCTAAAATCCAACAAGATTGGAAACGTAAGAATACAAGCTAATGAACATGCACCCAATAGAAGAAGCAGCGCATGAATGCGTGTCGGAAGAAGCACTCGTGCATTTAAAATCGTATAAATATTCGAGTGTCGACAAGAGTTTGATTTCGAATTATATCTTGAAGCATTATGTAGGTGGCCTTTCTTTTTATTATCATTCTTGGGCCTTGGGGGGGCGACTTCTAGCACACGTCCAGAACAGATTGTTGCATGTCACATATGAAGGATTTGTAGACGATTGGAGTACGGGAGTTTGGAACTCCTGGACCGGCGGAGAAAGCAGTAGAACGCCATCAAGAATAATGGGAGAGTTGCTATCAAAGCCTTCCTCTTCTCCCATACACCACTCGGTAGATGATTATACTGGATAATCTCGAGCGCAGCGAGCAATGGGGGTTTTGGGGGCTTGTCCCCACAAAGAAGAAAGAAGAATCAGACTAACAATTTTCAATATAGTGGAATGGCTTCGTCGAATTATTACCATTATGGTTGGCACCAAATATGGTTACATTATTGGGATTCTTTTTCATCCTGAGTAATGTTATCTGTTTGGAGATTTTCATGCCGGATTTGGTGGGACCTGTAAGTTCTCTATTTCTATGTCTACTATTTTCATTTCTTTCTGCATTGTTTAACCTCTCTACCTATCTATTCATTTTTTGAAGTTGCAAAGAAAATGACAAATGCTAATCAGTTTTCTAGGGACCGTCATGGTTGTATTACAGTTTCGCCTTCGGATTATGGATGTATTCAACAATGGATAATGTAGATGGAAAACAAGCTCGACGAACCGGAACATCTAGCGGTCTCGGTGAACTATTCGACCACGGTATTGATTCTCTCAATTGCACACTTGCATCTCTATGCGAAACGGCTGCTATGGGTCTAGGTACATCCAGAGCTGGAATCTTTACCGCATTGATTCCTTGTTTACCTATGTTCTTTTCAACCTGGGAAACATACCATACCCATACATTATACTTGGGAATTTTCAATGGACCAACTGAGGGTTTAATCTTGGCTTGCACGATTATGATCATGAGTGGTTATTATGGACCAGAGATTTGGACACATCGAATTACGGATTTAGTTGGTCACCATTATTTCCTCGGATATCATGAATTTTTCGGTTCATATTCCGTTAGAGATTTATGGGTCCCAATCCTCGTTGTCTCATTATTTGGTATTCACGTTCCTTTCTGCGTTATTAACGTGATTAAAGCCAGAAGAAGAGATAACTTACCTGTTTTACCGGTTTTCCTCGAATGGACTCCTATGGCCGTTTTTACTTTTAGCATTGGAGCTTGGCTTTTCTCTCCATATTCGACACTCATGGAAGAAAATCGTTTGGTACTTTTCTGTCTCACAATGAGTTTTGTCTTTGGAAGAATGACGACAAAGATTATCCTAGCACATCTCACAAGACAACCATTTCCTTACTGGACCGTTATGCTTACACCACTTGTTGGTGGTGCTATTCTTGGTAATCTACCTCGATTTGGTTTACCAGCTGTTAGTGTAGGAGTGGAATTGTGGTATTTAAGAGCATACTTTATTTTTGCTTTGGTGGTTTACTTTAGATGGGCTTGGTTGGTTGTTACGAGTATTTGTGATTACTTGGGAATCAATTGTTTGACAATTCCAGAACAGAAGTTGGAGGAGATCTATAGAAATCAAGAAATGGAGAAGAGGTTAGAGAAGAGAGGATTGGAGGTTAATGGAAAGAGAACCCCAAGTGGAAGTGGAGCGAAGAGTCCAATTGGAGTACCAAATGGAAAGAGAGCTGATTAGAGGAGTTGAGATGTATAGAGTACATTCTTGGAGTGCATGGGCTCATGAGGGTTGGAGAAGTCATTGGAATGATAGACTGGAGGTAGATCGTGGGTATTTCACGGGTATAGCTAGGGACACATAGAGATTTGTTTCACTCGTGGGTATGTTCGGTACGGGTAGATAATGGATGGATGGATGGATGGATGAATGGGTGATGATGAGTAACGAATCGGTCTCTCGGACTTGACTTGAGGTCAAACAAAAAAAGGAATAAGTTCATGTATGAATGGGATGCATATAGATATTTTAATACCTAGAATTCTAGCGAGAGGAGAGGAGAGAGCGTATGGTATCGATGGAGGAAGAGAGGTTATGTTGTTTAGCATTGCATGGCGTTGTGAACCCTTTGGGGTGAAGCGAATAATTAAGTAACTTGATTGTAATTCTGGTTGCATTGCATGTTGGTTTCTTTTTTTTTTTTTTTTATGGGATTGGATTGAGCTTTAGTTGAAAAGGATGAATGAGTGAGTGAGTGAGTGAGTGAGTGAGAGGGAGGGAGAAAGGAGGGAGGGGGGATTAGTAATTCCGTACTCACTAGACTAAACTCCGTATAAATTAAAGTTGTTAATAATACTTACTTCTTTTTGATGGAAATTTTGACTTGATTTGGTTATATGGAGTAGATGGATGGTGTGTGTGTGTGTGTGTGTGTGGGTTATGGGTTATGTGTTGGGTGTTGGGTATGTATTGTGTGCTGGGTTTTTTATTGTGATATTAGAATGGATGGATGACTGGATAGATTGAGTGAGTGAGTGAGTGAGTGAGTGAGTGGTTAGTAACTGGAGGATAATTTGGAGAATAATTGGAGGTGAAGCGTAGAAGAGAAGAGAAATTGAGTCTGCAGTGGAAGATATAGGAGAGAAAAAGAATTTGGAATATGGAACTCGTTACTGAGAGATGGTGGGTGGATGTTGGAAGTGTGGTAATGAATGAATGAATGAATGGATATAAGAAAATATAATTGATTTTAATATTTTATTATTCATTCTTTATTCTTTATTCTTTCCTTTTTCCTTCTCGAATTTTATACAGAGGACTTTGTTTATATATATATGAAGGATTTTCTATGAATGGTTACATATGCAGGCTTTGTTTATGTGTAACCTTTATAGATAGGATTAGGATTTGATGAATGATGGATAATAGTTGAAGATATGATAACGTGATTTATCAGTGTGCGGGTCATATCAGTGTGCGGGTCATTTTCACCTCAATTCACTCTATTCTCTTTCAATACGCGTTTTTATCAACAATCCACAATGGATTCGAATAATCAAGAAGCCCGTATACTCCTCGCTATCGAAGCTATTCAAAAAGACAAAAAAACAAGTATTCGAAAGGTTGCAAAGATATATAATATCTCGAATACAACACTACAGCGTAGAATTAATGGTATTACTTCCCGTTCCGAATATCGACCTAAATCTTATAATCTTTCAGAACTAGAAGAGAATATCATTTCTGAATATATAATTGATATGGATTTGAGAGGATTTCCACCTAAATTAAGAAATGTAGAAGATATGGCGAATCATATTCTTGAATCGAGGGGTGCAAAGCGCGTTGGGAAGCTCTGGGCGCATCGATTCGTAAAGCGTCGAATCGAATTAAAGACGCGTTTTAGTCGTGTTTATGACTTTCAAAGAGCTCTCTGCGAAGATCCTAAGCTTATTGAAGAGTGGTTTCGATTGGTTGCGAATATGCGAGCGAAATACAGCATTTTGGATGGCGATTTCTACAATTTCGATGAGACGGGCTTTATGATGGGTATAATATGCCCCGGAATGGTAGTAACTAGTGCTGAACGGAATGGCAGAAGCAAGGCAATACAACCAGGCAATAGAGAATGGGCTACAGCAATCATATGTGGCAATGGGGAGGGTGAAACTATACCCCCATTTCTAGTGGTTCAAGGACAGGTTCATCTTTCCAATTGGTATACCGAAACCGATTTTCCTGCGGATTGGGCTATTAAACCTACATCTAATGGATGGACAAACAATGAGACAGGTTTAGAATGGTTGAAACACTTCGACAAGCACACTAAGAACCGAAGAAAGGGCAGGTATCGAATGTTGGTACTAGACGGGCATGAAAGCCATGAATCAAGAGCTTTTCAAGCATATTGCAAAGAGAACGATATTATATGCTTAAGTCTACCACCGCATTCAAGTCATTTAACTCAACCACTTGATGTGGGCTGTTTTAGCAATCTGAAACGTTCATATGGTGGTCAAATTGATGGATTTATCAAGGCACATATCAATCATATTTCGAAGGTTGAATTCTTTATAGCTTTTAAAGCTGCATATAAAGAATCAATCATCTCTCAGAATATGAAATCAGGATTTCGAGGAACAGGTTTAATACCATTTAACCCTGAAGCCGTACTTTCGAAGTTAGATATTCGAATTCGTACACCTACCCCTCCCTCTTTCGATCTAGATCAATGGATCTCTCAAACCCCTCACAACCCAACTGAAGCTCTTTCTCAATCAATTTTAGTGAAATCTCGAATAACCCGACATCAATCAAGCTCCCCTACACCTATATTTGAGACTGTACTAGCTCTAGCTAAAGGTACAGAGAGATTAGCTCATGAGAATACACTTTTGAATGCAGAGATTCGTACACTTCGAAAGGCAAATGAGGCATTAAGCAAGCGTCGACGCGCGAAAAAACCCCAATTACGTCAAGGAGGAGTACTTACTGGGCAAGAAGCTCTTGATATATTATCTCAACAAGAGGTTGATATTCAGATTCAACGCGACGAGCGTCAAAAAGGGAGGAATTCTAATGAAGAAGCATCTTCTAGTCGATGCTGTAGTAAATGCGGAAAGACCGGACATAATGCAAGAACTTGTCAAGATAATATAATAGATCCTAGATTATTATAATTTTCATAGTTTTAATCAATTGATTCAATGGTTGTTGAATAATATGAGTTTGAAAGAGTGAATTGAGGTGAAAATGACCCGCACACTGATAAATCACGTTAATCGTGATTTATAATTGAAGTTCCTGGGCTATGGGGAAGTGTTATTTTTGGGTTATTGGGTTGGAGCGGGGTTTATGTGGATGGGAGTTTGGATAGGAATTCATGTTGTTTGTCTGTTTGTCTTTAAACGGGATGAGATGAACTAGCTGATCTTTGTGTTGTATTGTATTGAGGTATAGGCTAGGTGGAAATGTAGTTGTATGTATCTTACCTTGGGGTGGTGGGTGATAGGTCTCTTTACTTTATTTGGTTTACGCGAGAGTCTATTGTCCTTATCGACTCGACTTTTGTATATGGTATGGTTTGGTTGTGATTATAGGTAAAGAATGAGAGTGGAGATGAGGGGATTTAATACGTAGAGATTGGATTTAGAGATGTGTGGATTGTTAGGGAGGTAGGGAGGTAGGGAGGTAGGGAGGTAGGGAGGTAGGGAGGTAGGGAGGTAGGGAGGTAGGGAGGTAGGGAGGTAGGGAGGTAGAGAAGTAGGGAGGTAGGGAGGTAGAGAAGTATGGAGGGATGGAGGTAGAGAAGTATGGAGGGATGGAGGTAGGTACTTGACAACTACTTTCAGAGTTTCGTAAGTCTGTATGTAGATATATATGTATGTGTGTATGCATGAATGACGTTCACTTTGCTTCACTTCTAACCGAAGATGAGGTTAGGATGGAATTTTACTGTTTACCTTACTTTGCTCTGCCTTGTGTAGTAGTATCAGTATCAGGACTTCGCAGCGCATTCTATAATCTCTATCTGTAACAAGACGTTGTGAGTTCAATTGTAAATATGTGCTAAGTATACATATTCATAGAGAATCATTCGCTTGCTCACAAGAAATTCTCTGGGCATTTTGTCTGTTTGCTTCATGCATCAATTGATTGAATCATCAAGTTCAACCGATTGATGAAGTTTCGAGATCCGCTTCTTTCTCTACTGTGGAGGATGAGGACGGGGGAAGATCTTCACATGCTAATAGATGGCTATTGGTATACAATTACTTGGATCTGTTACTTTGGTGGTATATGGTGTATAGTTACGCGCAATCAGATTTGGAATTCAGCTCGTGCCTTTCGAGTGGTTTTGAATGGATGGGTTTCGTTCTGGCTGGCTGTGTTATGTTGTATATGATACTATGGAGATTGGGGCTCGAGTGAGATGTGCACTTTTATCTAGTGTGTACTATGTGCTGGTGGACTTTGGTTTGATCCATTTCTCTTGAAGTTCTGCCATGGCAACATCAACTGAAGGTTCTGACGTCTCTGATGACTAGCTAACTTTTGTCTTGTAGATGTTAGCTTCAACTCACTCATTGCAGAGATGCTCCGGCTCTGCACAGATTCATTACACGTCTAGTGTTTTTCGTCATTCGATGCTTACTCAACAGTGAAATGAGATTTGTGATAGGAGCTTCCGCATCTTCGTCGTTGATATAGCAATGGCATAAGGCAAATCTTGGACGTATCACATCGTATGACCCTAAGATATCCTGTGGAAACGACTTGAAAGCATCACGGGTGCCCAACTCTACATTTCATGGGAGCCGTTCTTTATAAAGGTGTCGAGCGGCTGTAATATCAAATCCGTCGAGTTTTGCTGACTATAAGAGAACTTTGCCGAGCTCTAGAAGCTACAACCTAGGTTAGAGATCAATTTAAGTGCGAAGTGAATGTATTTGTGATCTTGCTCACTTGGTCCAGTGCCAATTTCTACGACTCGCGCGTCTTGTTTGTGAAACTCGATCTTGGGATGAATAAGATATCCGCATGCTTCTTTCAGCAATCAATGATTGTAATCGAGACTACACTTTGAATGAGTAGAAGGTATGATGTGAATTTAGCGAGCAACATTGTTAGATAGGGGAGTTGGGGTCTCGGTTGGAAATATCATGTACGTTTCTAACTTTCTTATGCTCTGGGAGGAATGAAGCCATGTCTTTCTTTTCTTGTGCAATTGATCAAAGTAGAAAGTGTTTTGAGTTGAGCTGGGTTGGGAGAACCGTACTTGACGGGGGATGTGTTTGTACCCGTCTGTGGCCTTCTACCAACAGCGGACAAATAAACCTGTTATTACTAACCCCCTTTTGATGTGAGGATTACTGTAGCTTCCTATAATAGAAATCTGGCATATTCTCGTGATCAATCTCTTTTAATTGTAAACCCTAGCTGTCTATATTAATATTTTAACAACCACTCACATACACGCATTACCTACATTTCAACGACCTCATATACACATCACTCATGATCTTAAATATCCCCTCTCCTACATACAGCCATCTGGCATGGGCCCTTGCATACTACTGAAGCATGTGTGGAAAGATAGACTTTCATCGTGCTAGGCATCTTGTTGTAGTAGGCTCAATGATGGCGTTTCCAGTATCTACCGCCCTTTACCTCATCCTTTGAATGCCTTTTCATGAAATCATGCAGGAGTGGTCCATGTACGAAATTGTATTTTCAAAGGTTCTGAGCAG